AACAATGAGTTTAATTTTTTTCCCGCTAGAATTTAATAATGAAAATGGGTTTAGATAGATTTTTTAATTGAAAAATATATTCCTTCATTTACTTTTTCAATGTAGTCATAACCATCTACTAAACTGTAACACTTTTACTACACATTCACCCCTTCCTAATCCACAATACACTATTACTTTATATGGATTGTCATTCAATGTGTGTGTGTGGGGACTTAAGAAATGGAATCGTATTCTTACCTTACGTTTTAAATTATATTAAATGAATACATTTTTAGAAAAAAAATATGAATAATGTTATTGAAATTTGAATCACCTAAATATAATATCGCTTTTTAACTCTTAAATCATTCTTTAAATTACACACGAAATTATTTTAAAATTGAAAAATTGCACGTAGTAATTATAATTTATTTTTAATTCAAGTTATTGTTAGATTGAATAATCTTAATGATTAAAGAGAATGTTTTTTTTAGATTTTAGATTCGAACAGTTACTTTTAGAAAGTGTGTATGCATTATCAATAACTAAGTAAAATTATGAATATATACTATCTTATAATCATTTCATATAATTCAAAAGAAAAAAAAAGTCACTCTTTAACATTTTAGGGGCTCGTCAAGTTGATAGAGTTATTGAGGTCGAGACGGGCCAGTGAAACTGGATGCTACATTTTACGAGTTCACCCATTCAACCATACAAAAATGCAGGTCTGGGCCTAAGTTATCATAACTAACTAACTTATAATTGTATCCAGATAATGTATAAGAGTTTGATTTGAAACAAAACTAATTAGTTTTTAACTGTGATTTAATTATGATATTCGTTGCCATATATATTATTATACATTCAACACTTTACTTTTTATTTATTTTAATTTTTTATGTTCTTTTCTAATGTTTCAATTCCTGAATTTGATATTTTAGAAGTATAAGTTTGAATTGTATTTTTTTAAAGAGAAAAAAAAGATATTTTTTAAACAAAGTACAATTTTGAAAATTACCTTTTTTTTAATATTGTTAGTAAAAAGGCCGTGGGCTTTGTACGGACAACGGCGGTAAACGAAATGCACTCTCGCTCAAAGAGGAAAACCCATAAATATTTTATGGGTTACACCAATATAAATATGATAAAAAAAATTCATCTAGCATAATTTATATATATTTTAATTTTTATATAAAATATATATTTTTAATTTAAAAATATAATAATATATTTGAATTAAATCTAATAAAATATTAATTGGAGCAATATAATTTTCTTAACATAATTCGTACATATTTTTATTTAGGATAAACTACTTAACACTTACTACTTAATTTATATTTTGGTCACTCAACTATTGTTTTTCTTTTAAAATCATATTCAACGTTACGTTTTTGTTATGTTTTAATTACCTACCGTTAAAAATTAACAGTGATGTTAACGTCATAATTTTTTGGATTATTTTTCAATCTTGATATGATATTATTTAATGATGACACATTAACATTACTATTATTTTTTTAAAAAGATAAGTGACTAAAACATAATCAAAATGTAACATAAAATATGATTTAAATTAAATAATAGTTGGATGACCAAAATAAAAATTAAATAATAACTAAGTGACTAAATAAGTAATTTACAATTTTTTTAGCATGGGGTGGCAGGCCTAGGCTTAGATACTCCCTAGCTGGCTCTGTAAGCCCCAACTCTAGAAGCAACATGTTTCGATCTTAACACAAACGTTATTCCAACTATTACCGTTAATTTTTTAACTATTAATGATAAAAATAAAATTAAAACATAATTTTATATATAATTTTTAAAAAATAATTATGTGATCAAAATAAAAATTAAATAATAAGTGAGTGATCAAATAGAACATTTACCCATTTTTTCTTAATTAACTTAATATTCTGATCTTAAAATAATTATAAACTAAAGTAAAGTAAATTGTACGTTTAATACCCAACTATTATTTTTGTTTGTTTTAGTATCCTAACAATATTTTATTTCAAAATCATATTTAAAATATTATCTTATGATGACACATCAACATTATTATTAATATTTTAATTGTGAGAGACTAAAACGTAGCATTGGGGAAAATGTTTAAGTGACTAAAACGGAACATAAGTGATGATTGATACTAAACACGTAGTTTACCCAATAAAAAATAACTATTTTTATTTAAAAACTGATATGTTTTAAAATAGTTTAAATACTTATTTTATAATAAAAAAAATTGATTTAAAGTAAAAAGAGGAGGGTAATGATGGAAAACAGGAAAGAAAGTAAAAGAAAAGAAAGAAGTGTAGTTATAGGTTGTCAGCAACCAGCAAACCAGACTTCAAAATGCCGCTTTCTTGTCCCCTCTACCCAATCACATTTCTTCACCCTGTTTTCTTCTGTCTCCTCCACTTTCCCCTCTTTCCATTCTCTCTTTTTCTTTTCCACTTTTACACGTTCTTGCTATTCTTTTTATCTCATTTTTTATTTTATTATTATTTCACAAAACAATTTTTTTTTACATTCTCGATTTTAAGGTTTTCCTTTGATTAATCTTAATCGACTCATTTTGCACGCCTATTTTCGTAGTTGAATCTTCTAACAAAAATTTTCTAAATGTACAATAACTCAAACTCGATAATTTATTTAAATAATATTAATATGTTTATCACTTGAAACAACCATTCTAATTACATAACAATATTTTTTAATATTCAGCGGAGGACAAGACGATAAGTAAACCTATTTTGGGATAAAGGCATTAACTAATAAAGTAATAATATCTTGGTTAAAATACATCATTTTATTATATGACACTTTTAAAGTCTTAATTAAAATAAATAAAATTATTTTCATTGAAAATTTATCAAAAAACAATATAATGATTAATAAAATTGATGTAATAAAATTTAAAATTTATATTAATCTAATCCTTCTTCTAACTCATTTTCATCATTATTCCCTTCACTATCATCTCTAAAACCATGCTAGTTATTGTTCGTTTCTTTTACCGTCATCGTTGTTTAGTTCATAAAACAACAATGTTAAGTTCGCACTCGTCGAGCATAAAAAATGATCCGCTTCTTCCTTTGTCAACACTGGTCTCGCAGGTGCCGTTGCAGTCGAGTTTTGCATACCTATAATTAAGAAATTCAATAAAAAAATCTTCCATAATCAGAAATTTATTTGAATGTTTTATTCTAATATTTATTTTAAGAAGTTTTTTTACATATAATATATTATTTTTAATGAATTCAAAAATATGTTAATCATACTTTATTAGTTTGCTTTGAATGCTTTTCAGATGGGTTAGCCACTTTTTGACCTATAATTAAACAAATGGGATAAGCAAACGGGCAGGCCGAAGGCAATGGGATATACCAAAATGGCAAAACGTATTAAGCTAAACTTTGTATTTTTTGATTTGTTGTAATCTCAATTATTGAATTTTTTTTATAGGAATTGAAGGCCTCGTTAAAAAACCTCCTTCATGATTAAAGGAATTTGTAGAAAAACTCCTTAATAAGCAGAATGAGGAAAAGAATGCCTTAAGATTTCATTAACCATAAGAAACATAAGATACAACCAGAATCGTCTCCCACAACATAAACAAACAACCCAAAACAGCCGGAAAAACCCTATACAACAACACTAACATAGCGAAATCCATCTAAGCTATAACAACAGTCACAAAAATGAATGACCAGAATTAACACTTGAACTAAGCCCGAAAACCAACACAAAACCAACACATAAACAAAACAACTAAAGCATAAGCCGAATATCACAGCTGAACCAAACCATAAAATCCAAAATCAAAAACAAAAAGCCCTGAACTTCTACACAAAGAGTACAAGAATCTTCTTCCGCCTAACTGCCTCTTCTAGCTCGACTTGTCGACATAGACCATCCGAACCTCCAACTTTAGAGCCTTCAAGATAAAAAAAAAAACTTCCTCTCGAAGCACCTTCCTCTGAGAATTCTTGCTTTGTCTTTAACGAGGCTTCCTTTGGTGGGATGAGAATTTTTCTTGAAAATTTCGGAGAGAACTAAATATAGTATTTCTCTCATCCAAAGCTCTTTGTTTCTGACGCCCATCCACTTTCTCATATCTCGATAGCCTCATCCCCTGACCAGCAAGCACTTCCTCGTGTACCACCAATACCTTAAAACCATCAGTAGGCATGGTTGAGGACGTCACAATTGGCAACTGCACATTATCTTTACTTATATCCTTAGACCCACTATGCTAAAACTCTCCAAGGCATGCAAAGTGCCACCAGTTTGACAGTTATAATCCTGCACAGTTGTCCCACTATCAGAACTAACATTCGTGATCTCCAAGAACCTATTACTATTTAATGATACCTTGGTCTGCCGTGAACCAACATTTCTAATTAGAGCCAAACGCCTACCACTAACATCAAGAAACATGTGGTGCACATCTTTCGTATTTGCACTATCAACTCTAGCATCACACACATCCAAACCTGAGCCCGCGTGTAACCCACTAGCTTCCTCCAAAATATTAAGATATGCACTCATCTGGCCAACTGAACCAAGCGTAGATGCCCTATTACAATTTGTCGGGTTATCACAAAAATGCAACTTATGCCCATGCACATTATACCCCACTTGCGCCCCCTAGCTACCTCCAAAGAATTAAAAGTGTCGTTCATCTTGTAATCAGACCCATGCGCAGCTATCCCGTAATAGACTGTCGGGGACACAACTTCCACAACCCATACCTTATCGGAACAAGGACCATTTCCTACGTCCTCGGCACATGAACCACACGTTCCACCACCAGTATGCATGCCTTCAAAACACGCTCGAGTTTCTAGCTGAGCTTCCTTAATATTATTGGAATCAAGATTAACTCGAGAAAACGTTCCAACATCTACCACCAACTAGGAAGGCTTAACTGGCGAGACACCAATAAGCTCCCCCTCCGTAGGCAACGGGGAGGCAACTAACGTTTCCAACACAAACGAATCAACCCAGACAAAATCTGGGCTAAAGCAAGGTTCAAACTCAGAAACAAATACTGTAAAAGACTGTTCCCCGACTTTCAAAACACATGATTCTTCCACTCGATCTTTGCGGTTCGTAATGATATGAAAACAGGCCCTATCAAACGAGCCAGGATTAAAGGTTCATACATCAATGGAGATAAGAGCTCCCCATTTTTCTACAATGTTTCTGAAAGTTGAATGGCACCACACAAACGGTGGGATCCCTCTACACGATAACCATGCCCGTCGGCTGCTATACTAAAAGTTTTTCGACCAGAAATCCAATTTGTCAAAGCATTTATTCAACGCTCCAATCTGATTTTTTAGAGTATAGTCCCTACTCTCTTCATCTTCAAATATGATCAAAATAGCTAAACCACTTAACCTCATAATTTTCGGGCCTAATATGCATTCCTTGTGCATAATAACAACTAGCTCTTTCATTTTCATACATTTTTTGCACCAACCAACCAAACTATCTCTAAGAGTAATTAGCTTTTCTTATCTCTAAGAGTAATTAGCTTATCCTCATCAACTACACCAATAATGGGCGCCTCTTTGACATCCGCCTCACTACTCTTGAGCACAGTTGAATTTGAATCAGAAAACTTTTTCCTCCAGAAAACATCACGAGGTTGAAATCTCGCCATGAAAACTCTAACCTTTTTATCTTGAATCCAAGATCTATCGGCACAGATGATAGCCCTCCTCGCGTCCTCCACTCTAGAAAATCGGACAAAACCGAACCTACTACCTCCCTTGCTTCTTTTTCTAGGGATGAAAGAATCGACCACCTCGCCATATTTATCGAACAATAACCTAAGACCTTGATAATGAAGACAATTTGAAATATTGAAAATAATAACTGTAACGCAATTCTTCCCACCAGATCTTCTCAACTGACTCGCCATCTAAAGCTGCACAATAATGATCAAAACTTGGTTTAAATTGTCAATTTAATCGATTGAACCCCTACTTGTGTTGTTTTAAACTAACCCAAAATTTAAAATAGATCACATTTTCTTAAAACAAAAAATTCAAGATTGGCAACAACAAACAATATTGATAGTATTCAAAACCAAATTAAATCGAGTATATATAAATTTTAGAGTCAAATATATAAATGATCTTCAACTATAGGGCGATGTTTTATTGAATCTATTGACTATTGACAGTTACAAAATGATTCTCCGACTATAAGATGTTTTGTTGAGTATCTTGACTATTAAAAGTTAACAAATGGTGACCCGACTATTTATATGTTTCAAACTTTTTTTTCCGTTAAAAAATTGGTAATCGTCTGAGCTAAGATGTAAACATGTTGACTAAGATATGATAAAATATTATTCTAAATCCGTTTGAGTTGTATTTTATGGATCAACTATATATGTAAATTATGTCGTCGAGTCGATGCTTGAAATATTATTGCATCAAGCCAGTATTTGAAAGCAACAAAGGTTCCAGTATACATCATTCAAATATGATTTTTGTCATATCCGAGTCAGCAGGTTAACGTTAAGTTTAGACGGTCGTCAAATTTTTAAAGAAAATGTATGAGTTTAGAATATATGAATAGTCGGTTGATTATTTTGTAATTTTTAATAGCCGAGAGACTCAATGAACCGATTTTATACAGTCAAATAATCATTTTATAACTTTTAATAGTCAAATAACTCAACAAAACTATAGCATATGGACAGAGATCATTTATATACTTTTTCCTAATTTTTTATTAAAGTTATATCATAGAATAATTAATTAATTTTTACTTAAAAACTTAATTACATAACAAAATTGAATTAAAATAATATTGTTTTTCTATCTATAAAATTTAAACTTTGAGACATTAAACTCCTTTTACTCAGTAGGCATTAATTACATGGCTAAATTAATCATTCTTGAAATACATATACTCTAGAGTTAAATTAATACAAAATATTTTGTACTTTCATTAGAAAAAAGGTACAATAATTAAATGCTATAAGGGTAGATGTAATATTTCACATATTCACAGTCCACTGAACCAGAATGAAGGCACATCAAAACCCATCTTTCCTAAAGTATACCACCTGTAATTACGACAGATAGAGTACTTATATTGAAAAATCTCAAGGTCCCGATTCCCCAACTTGTAAAGAATCTCAACCGTTAGATCAGATACCCTCCTTTAATAGCGCAGTATAAAACGACCTTGTCTTGTTAGTGAAAATTTGCACTGTTTTTTTGTGTTTATTTTCGGTTTTACCCTTTTTGAGTTCCCCGCTGAAATAGCTTTTGTTTTTGTTTTTTTGCTTATTGAAAGGATCTTAAGCTCTATGTGTTTCCCTGCTTTTCATTTAATATTCGTTTTCTTTGGCAGTTTTCGAAAGCAGCAATCGATCTTCTTCTCTTCGTTGCCTTTTCTAGTTTTCTCGCCGGTAAGGTTTCTTTTTCTGTTTTCCCCCCTTTTTTTTACTCTGTTTTTGTTTTGCAGCCCTTCTTTTCAACGGTGATAATTTTTTATTGGATTCTGGTTTTGTCCACGTGTTTCTGTTTGGTTGCCGTGAAATCAGAAGAAAAAGGAAGAAGAAAAGTTTGCCTTTTCCCCCTTTTTCCTTTTATATTTTGTTTGATATCTTTATAATTTTCCCGGTTCAGCTTATTACTCAGGAAAATGTAAATTTCAACACTCTTGAAAATATTAAATGCATAAGAGAGTTAAACTTTAGTTGACCATTCCTTTTTCCCCTTTTCTTATTTTTTTAGGAACTAAAAAAAAGTTCACGCTCAACATTTTTCATATTTTGAAAAAAGTTAAAGCTTTATCTTTCTGGGAAACCTAGTGGAAAATAACGCTAAGAAGAGTTCATTTTTCCAATAATGTTCTTTGTGAAGTTTGGACTCGTGTTTTTGCCTTGCTGTTTTTTCTTAAATCACGGGGTGGTATTTAATTTCCACATTTTAAGAGTTTTTTTTAAGCTGGTAATCTACTTGGGGTCTTTTTTTCCATTGACATGTATTAGTTTGTAGATTGGTCGAATGTAGATTAGCTGGTTTACACCTTTTTTTGAGATTGAACAAGTGAAAACTTTAATTATCTTTGACTATTAACTTTAATTATCTTTGACTATTAGCTTTAAAAATGACACAAATTAACCAATTCTGGAAGCTGGAATTGATTAAGAAAATGGATTTGAGTTGGTTTCATAGATGCTGTTATTGGTTTAGAAACTGGTGATGCATGTTGATTTTTCGCCAGACTGGTCTACTTGACATTTTAGTTTCTATATCTTTGTAAGTAGTTTCTGATCTGTTGTAAATTCATAGTGACTTCAAATCTCTTATTTATTTAATTCGGCTTAAAGGTGTTGTTATTGGATGAGCAGAAAACTTGATTTGCAATTCTTTCATAATGTAGTAAAAGAGGTTGTCTTGACAAGTTTTAAGTTCTGATGTCTCCACCGCTGCTGGGCGTGGAAGAGGGAGGGCAAATTAATGTTCCTTCTCCAGCTGTTGAGTGCATCTCCCAGAATGACTTGGGTTTAAAGGAGATAAATTATCTGGGATTGTCAGATTGCTCTTCAGTAAACATCTCTGGTGTCTCAAGCTTGCCAGAGGGTAGCAGCAATAATCTTAATTTGAAGGCGACAGAGCTTAGGCTTGGCCTTCCTGGATCTCAATCCCCAGAGAGAGATGTGGATCTTTGCTTGCTGAACTCGGTTAAACTTGATGAGAAGACACTTTTTCCTCTACTTCCTTCTAAAGATGGAATCGGCTCTTCATCACAGAAAAGTGCTGTTACTGGATACAAAAGGGGGTTCTATGACACCATGAATGGGTTCTCCCGGGTGAAAGGCTCTCTATACACTGAAAAAGATTGGATGTTTTGTGGAGCTGGTTCTGAATCTCAGCCCGTGGGACATGGTCAATGTCCTGCTAATTCAGGGGTTAATGTGATGTCAGCAAGATCTTCTGGAGTTCAAGCATCTGTAGAAAAAGATGGGCCTGCAAATGTGCAAAATACCAATGTAGCCAACCTTAAGCAAAGTGGCGTTTCTAATCACAACAGCAGTGCACCTGCTGCCAAGTAAGAATACTTGAGAAAGGACTCTTAATCTTTGGTTGGGATAAATGGAACTATGTAATGACCTTATTTGATTGTTATTGTGATGTACCATCCTTGGCAGGGCACAGGTTGTTGGCTGGCCACCAGTAAGATCATTTAGGACCAAAACTCTGGCCACTTCTAAGAACAGTGATGAAGTTGATGGAAAACCTGGTCCAGGTGCTCTTTTTGTCAAGGTCAGCATGAATGGGACTCCTTACTTGAGGAAGGTAGATTTGAGAACTTATTCAACTTATAGGGAGCTGTCTTCTGCACTTGAGAAGATGTTCAGTTGTTTTTCGCTTGGTAAGCTACTGCTGCACTCTTTGCCTTGTGGCAATATCATGTACTTATTGGTGCAACAAATGTGCTTACTGTATTGTTAATGTTTAGCATAGATCTGGTGACCGCATTTTGTTATGATTTTAGTTCCATGTGGGTCTCATGGAGCTCCTGGGAAGGAAATCTCCAGTGAAAGAAAGTGGAAGGATCTTTCACATGGATCAGAATATGTGCTAACATACGAAGATAAAGATCGTGACTGGATGCTTGTTGGTGACGTTCCATGGGAGTAAGTTTCATTTGCTGAAACTTACTGTTTGCCTTGATGTTTTCTTTTTGAAATCGTATATCACATGTTCAGAAGTTTTTGGAGTATCTTTTATAGATTGAATCTCTTTAATTTCAGTGATGGTTAACGTAGATACAAATGACAGTAAACATGTGATTACATTGTATGCATGTGTATACATTGTAATGGTTAACGTACATACAAATCTCTTTAGACAAGCACTTTTGCTCTTCGATTTCCTGTCAATGTGCATAGAAGTAACCTCGTAGTTAGGTCATAATATGGGGTTTAAGAAGTGGTCGGAACAATTTTTTCCTTTTCCACAAATGGTACAATGAGATTAAATTTTATAGCTAATAGTTTTGAGCCTTTCGTTCAATAAGAATAAAATTGAGCATGAGAATATATTGCTGTTTCAAAGGTTTTGATTCGTTCGTACTTGTTTCTTCTAAATTGAATTACTCAATAAAACTTTAACTGCTAATGGATTGAGATTCCTCACCGAGTTTGCCTTCACCCCCCTCCTGAACTGTGATTTGGTTTCGTCCCAGGATGTTCATTGAAACGTGCAAGAGGCTGAAAATTATGAAGAGTACTGATGCAATTGGATTAGGTAAGGTAAGTAACTTTTTATTATCTGAAAATGGATCAATTATTTTGCATTATATGTTTATTCACCACTTCATCGTGGGAACTGGGTGTATGCAAATGTGCTTTCAGTTTTTATTATAGTGTGCTTTCATGTAATATCTTTCTTTTCATCATATAGCCAAACCAGAGTCCGCTTGCCCTTGCTAGATTACTTATCATTTATTTTTCTTTGTATCGCCTCGTCTTCATTGGATACACGGAGTCTTTAGCTTGTCACAGTATAAATTTCTTCTTAATTGTAGATGGACAAAGTCTTAGGCTAATGTGAACTGTATTTTCTGTCTACAGCACCAAGAGCAACAGAGAAATGCAAGATTGATCAGTAACTAGAAAGAGATTCAATTGTTGATTTCCTTACCAAAGCAAAAGTGACGAAGTATGAAGGTTGTGATAATCAAAAGCTGAAAGCTACAGGGTAAAAGATCATATGATATAAAACCATCTCATCTATGTGATTCCACCAAGAATCAGTTTACTTTTTATGTTTTTATCGCAAATTTACGATGATTGTTAAAAATGTTTTAAGAACATTACTGATTATGGATAATGTGTGCCCGATTTTATTCTTTAATCACTTTGCCTTCATCAATGAGTTATTTTTGAATCATGTGCAGACACTGGGATCCAGTGCAACTCATATTCTAATGTAAATTTCTTTTTCCCAATTTTGTTAAGCATTGGGATAAAAATGAGAACCCCAAACCCTCTTGAAGACACAACGGACAACCTGTGATTAAATGAACAAATCCTGTAAGAGAAAACGACATGTCAAAAACGTACAAGCAAAGGGACCTAATTAATAGTGCTTGTCGTTGCTAATGGAGACAGGAATTCAACCAATCCAAGAAAAACGTGAATAATAATAATTAGCATTGTAGCAGCAAGTTTCAATTCAAAGGGATTTGCGTTGAACCGCTAAAACAAGATCACTTCATTGCGGAGGGGAAGACCGATTGGTTCTTCAGTTTGTCGCTCTGTTTTAGGTAAAAGAGCAGGGCATTTAAAGAAGTCTGCAGGGAAGGCTAAGGCTACATAGTTTCATAGGATAGCGTCGCCTAAGCTGGGCTGCGGTCAGCTATTCCTACGAGTCCGATCTTATTAATGTTGCTGTTGAAAGCAGCAGCTTATTAAATAAATGAGGCAACCTTCCATTAGTTTACAGGTGATAAGTTGTGCTGTAAACATAACTAGGAGGTAGCAATCTCATAACCTTTGCTGGTTTTGGAATAATCATGGGTTGAGTATTGCTGTAAATGAGGAACGCTCAACCATCATTCTGGATTAATCATGGGAAAGTTTGATGTGGACTTTTCGTTTGGGAGTGAAGAGAGATTCAATGGAACAGAACAGAACAGAACGCTTTTAAGTTGAAGATGTGAATTAGGGAGGGTCATGGGTTGGGTCCATCGGTTTGAACTTTGTCTATTAACTCTGTTCAAATTTAAAAGGAATTTATTCGACATAAAATCAGTCTTTGATTTTTGTCCATTTAGAAAATGTGCTTTATTGACTGAGATGCCTCGTTGGTGGAAAGGATTTCCATTAGGATGTATTTTTTATCATGCATGGCCGATATGAGGTTGATTTAGAAAATAATTTTCAGTAGATGTCCGATCGAGAATTAAATCTTTATTTGGTAAAACGACCAAATTGTTTAGATTAAATTAGAAGAATTGAAAAATCGCTTTCGATATCATCGATTACAGAATATATTGTGAACTTGAGTCCGTTGATAGCGTATTAGACTATTAATTTTCGTGATTAAAAATATAAAATTATATCGATTCCAACAGCTCGAAAAAGACCAAATATTTGCCACGTCCAATGAGAAGTTAGTAATGCACAAAAATCAGGCTAAAGAATACTGTGGAAGTAATCTTCACCATTCCCTCACACAAATTTTACTTTCAGAAATCAAAATGCTCCACTAAAACAATCAATGTTACATATTATATTCACTAAAGATACAAGGGGGGGGGGGGCTGGTAGCCCTTAGATTCCTGGGTCTGGCACCACCTTTGTGCTAGCTCATCTATCTGTATTTAGTTTACGGTTCGGCCTGCCGGAGCTTCTTCACGCAGTGGTCTCTGTCCAATTGTCCACTGAGTGAGAACCTGTTATCATTAACCGACTGGTAATACTCTTCCACCCCGTAAACTTTCCTGAACAATCAGAGAAAGAATACATGTCAGACACACGAAGCAAAATTAAAAGAGTCATAGCAACATAGATTTCTACTCGGTAGTATAACATTGGGTGTTTAATTGCATATTCTGTTTTGTAGTAGTTGAAGTTTAGGCAGGAGAGGATCTGAATATGACACCACACGGACAAGAGAAGTTGACATGAAGGCAAACCAAAAGCAAATTGCTTAGGCTGCAAGAGGTGAAACTAAAGTCGGGCTTACGCTAGATCTGCCAAATTTTCCGACTTGATCACAGCTTTTCCTTCTGGGAGTTCAAGGCAGGAGTAATGCACTATCATCTCCTTTAGCGTGTGCTTCGTGCTTTTAACATCATTATCCCATAATATGCTCTGAAATAACAAGTCCAAGAAACTTGTAAACTTGGTAACTCGGGAAAGTCTGATCCAATACCAGGATATGAAACTTAATCAGCACGCCAGAAACCACAGATACAATATAAATTGACAAAATCTTCAGTGGTGACCAGAATTGAAGAAATTACTCAAGTTATAACCATCACTCTCAATCTCAAAAGCATGTGCTTTTTTTATTTTATTTCATATAGTGTTTCTTTTAACTAAGACGTATATGTAAACATTAATAAATAAAGCTAATAAAAATGCATTCCTGTTCACATAGGCGTAGCTTCAAGAACAAATATTATCATTCTTTCGAAGAGGAACCACAGAGCACAATTTTAAGCTGTCTTGCAGTTTGCAAGTTAAGAGAAACCTACCTTCCTAACATACTCTCTTTTCACATCTTCCCAATCTGCTTTACCTTTAGGAGAGAAAATTGAAGCATTCCAGAGAGCACCTCTAGCAGCCATGACCGATGAAGCACCTTAAAGAAAAATATTATGAAATTACACATATCAGGACACAGTACGAAAGCAAAATAAGAAAGATTATGGCATTGCGCAACCGCCTAAAAGTTCAAACAGTCTGGAATCCAGTAGGAAATTATACATTTGCAGATCTTTAAATAACAGGGTGAAATAATTTGGCAGTGGTTCAGGCAAGGAGGATATCAACTTACATCCATTCTAAAAGAAATAAAATAGCAGAAATATATATTTAAAGATATCATTAGAAGTTGGAGAGTATTTTATGGCCACCTGTTGCAACTTTAATACGTTCAAAATCATCATATTCGAAAACATCACCATTTGCAATAACTGGAATAGATAATGCTGATACAACATCTGCAATCTCATTCCACTTGGCTGGATCCCTTGGCCTATCTGGAACTTTTCTGCAAATTATCCAAGAAAAATATAATAAAGCGTTAAGAAAACTAAATAAAATAAAACAAAAGAACTTCCTAATCTTAAATGGGTAAAACTACAAACATAAATAATGGCAGCACTGAAGCGTGATCCCTGTGGTGTCCTTAATGCCTAGTTAATGTCATAACAATGTTTTATGTTCAACTATTTTATCCCTGAATCCTCTTGGGCTATACAACTCTATGCTAGCCATTGAAGTAAAACAATAGCCGGATGTCAAAATATTTTGATTTACTATCACAACTACTGTTTATCAAAATACGAAATCAAGTAAAACATCGTTTTCTTTCTTATAAAAAAATTATGATTATTCAAAACAAACAAACACAATTCTGGTATATTTGAATGGAAGTCCAGAGCTGATCAACCAAATTTTACAAGAAACTATTAGCACAGACCACAGATATTCCAGCAACTCAAGTACATCATATACTTGTGGGTCTTGGCCGAAGGAAAAAAGATTACAGTACATACTTGAGCCCTTTTAAACAGATGAAACAATTACCTTTTTAAACAGTAACCATGTTCCCAATGATTAACAAATTGCAGTCATGCAAATAATCATAAGGGTCTCAAAAAAATGAAACGTCTACATCTAAAGTTACCTTCCATGGACGGCAAGAGCGGAAACACCTGTTTTCTCAATTCTTCTAGCAAGTTCTACTGTATCCTGAGATGCTTTTAAAAGTCGAATCTTGCATGTTACTTGTGTATCTATATTCCTCCTTAAAGTTGTTAAAATCTGAATTAGCAAAGGATAATGTAAAGGGTTGCTGTTTAATCATAGATATCCACAAGGATTTTGGCAGCAATAGCAGCACATACATCATGTATGAGATCAGGCTTTGTCAACAAAGCAGCACCCATGCCCCCACTCACAGAAAATGACTTGGGGCAACCCATATTGATATCCACAGCAGCGACATCTTTACACCTACCAAAAGATTAAAAATTTATAAGAGTTTTCATCATCAGCATGAAGAATGATAATTTCGTTTATAATAAATTGAGATACAAATGTGGATGGATTCCAACTTCAACCCTTATATGTAGTTATACATTAATGAGAGCTAAATCCATCCCAATTAACCTACAATTCTAGACAACTTGCACGCGGAGAAAACTCTTAGTGGGAGAATTGCAAAGGTATAAATGAAAGTAATTTGATCATAACAGACGAGTGCGAACAGAAGATGCAAACAAACAGAAGTTTAGGGGCATCATTACAGCTTCATGACAATGAGGAAAAAGAATGCAACCGGAATAAATTACACTATTTTAGCAGCCTTCAGAGCTCTCACAGCATCCGAAGTGCCCATTTGAAATACCACCTGGTCCCTTTCTTGGTTGCAGGTTCTGAAGACAACATTGTTAGTTCCCTTCTCAACAAAATCAGTTGAGCCAATATATTCTACAAGGAAAAAATGGGGCAAAAATAAACAGACATGAGTTCTCATTATCAGCCAACATCAATCATGACAAATACACTGCACACAACGGCAAGGCCCTATTCTGAAGGCTTCACAATAAACACGTGCAAAACATTAAAACAAATACGATTCTCTTTTCATTCCTCTATTCCATTTTTATTTCATTGACCCTGTTTGAATTTCACAGAATTTAAGAGAAAAAGTTGGGATAAGGTGCAAATTTACCACTATACTTATGACCGTGGTTCAAATTTATAACCACTCTTTCAATTGCTGCAATTTTACCACCATAACTACATTATAATTCAAAAAATAATTTTGAAAATGATATAACAGGGAAAGAAGCATAAAGCTAAATTCAATATTTTATTTTCATTTATTTGTTTTTTTTATCATTGATATTTTGTATTAAACATAATGTAGCTTTATCCAAATTTATTTTAACTTTATTTCCTTTCATCTTGACATTATTTACTAAAACAAGACAAGTTAGCATTTTTTTTCCTACCATGTTCTTTCTTTTGGAAATTTTAAAAGTTACAAATATTTTTTTTTTATTGATGGTACTTTTATTTATTTATTTATTTATTTTGGGGGGAGGTGAGTTGCTCTAAATTTTGAAGTATAACAGTAAATTTGCTCCAAAATAAATGGTAATAACATTGCATCTGTTGAAAAAATGATGGTAAACTTGGATCATTCACATAAGTAGAGTGCTAAATTATACCTTATAATAAGAAGATTTGATCTTAGTGTTTGTGGGTGTGAATATATATCAACCTTATTAAACATTCTCTGATGGCTTGGTTGGTAATTCAAAATCGTTTGCCTTTCAAGGACAGACTTATTAACTATGGTCCGAGTATACAAGAAAATTGCATTTTTTGTGCAGCTGACATGGAAACAACGTATCAATTGTATACTGAGTGCAGCTACTCGAGAGCAGTATGAGAAGGTGTGCTACAACTTTGCCAGCTACAAAGATTAGTCATGAGTTGGCAACAGGAAATGCAATTGGCAACTACTAAGTTGAAAGGGAAGTCTCTTCTCGTTATTTTGAGAATTGCTTTGGAATGCACATGCTTAGTTGATATGAAGGGAACGGAAGGAAAGGCAATTTGGAGGGGTACAGACATCAGAGCAAGCTAAAAGATATAGTGAGATGGAGTTTATCTGATATGAATATTTGTACAGCTGATTTAGCGAATATTAGATTGCATAGTATGGAGTTTTCAACTAATGGGTAAAAATTGTAAATAGATACAAATAGCATAGAAAGAGTTTGAACATGTAGCAATTCTACTGATATTGTTTAAGGAAAATCATGTGTGTGTGATGTTGAAAAAAACAAGAGTATATATCAACGTTTTTTGTGTGTGAAGTTGATGTTGCAATTATTTCAAAAAAATTAAAATCATGTGAATGGGCATGAAAATAAAGCTAAATTTAACGCAAAAGAACAGAAAATCCCATAATTTCTAGCACCAACAGAGCTATCCAGCATAATTTTCAAAAATGAAATGAAATTGAAGCAATAATGCGTTATCGTACCATTTACTTTACGCTCACATCTTATCATTTTATGATCAATAATTTCCTCGGAATAAGTGATATCTGCACCGTAATCAGCAGCTAGCAATCTAAACGGCAGCGTTCCCTGATTCAACCCCAAAAGAGTACAATTATAGATGAAAAATTCATATAAAAGAAGAAGAGAGTAACTGAGCGAGAAAAGGATGATTTGCGATTGGGAGTTGAATTTACTTACGACTCGAACCATGGGAGCGAGGACAAGTTTGTTCTCGTACTCCATTGTTACCGCTTCAGTGTTCGACTCCAAGGAAAGCCGCCAAGCGCGGGTCAAAATGCAGTGAAACAGTTTTAATTGCGGAAAGGGAAAAAATAGTCGGTATTCAAGGTTTCAAACCTTTTCGATGGTTGAAAAATGGCAACTTCATACACGAAAATCGGCCCACTTTAAAAACCCGTTATATCAGAATGCTTGAAGAATTGGGTTGGCCCATATGTCAGCCCTATACAGTAGTTCTCTACTAAAACAAATTGGCATATTCACACAATTCTTTAACCACTAACATGGCTTACTTCGTGTAACTCACTAAAATTTTAACAAAGATAATCATATTTGCGCTCTATAATCTTTAAAATTTTACACATTCAGCATGAACCAACTTATTTTAGTGTTTAAAATAACTATTGTTATTCTTAGAGGTCACGGGTTCGAACACTAGTGATTGAACGTTCATTGTCAAATGGTTGAGAGTACATAAAAAATATCACATAAATTATTAAAACATTTCAAAATAATTTTTTTAAATGATGAAAGTAGGGACCAATACACGTTGCTCTAAAATTAATATCACCAACTTGAGATTGCAATTTAAGTTGTCAAATATCCTTGACCTTTTTTCCTTTAATATAATTTTGGTCACTTATCATTTTAAATGCTATGAAATAAATGTTACCTACTCGAGATTGCAATTTAAGTCCATCTCAAATACTTTTTTTTAACAGAACACCTTCACAAATAAGACAGAAATAATTTAAAATTTTGAATGGTTAGGACAAAAAGAAGTTCTAAACCTAAAGTTAAAGTGGGTCAGTTTTAGTACTTTTTAAGGGAAAAAAAGATTAATATATATGTTTGTATATGCACATATGCAAAATTTTATGTTGTGGGGTAGAAATAGATTTTTAATTAAAAATACAATAAAAAATTAAAATATATATGAATTTAAATTTTTTAGGAGGATGACTACTTACACCCATTTCTCTCGGTCTATCCTTATATCTGTATGTACGTGTGTGTATATATATCTTCTCCGAGTTCGGAACAACTGGTCCATCCATCGTTTGCATTTTATTCCCCCACAAGTTGCAGAAACAACCTTCCTCTCAAGCTGACAAATCTCGACCAAACTCGTTTATTTCATTTCCGTAAATCTAACAGTATAGGAATAAGCTTTATATGAATATAAAAATATTTTTTTCATCATTAAAATAAAAAGTAAATTTAAACTGACAAATCTAATAAAACCAAATCTGATATCATAAATAAATCAACAAAATGATCCACCATTCTCAACAAAAAGGAGTGGCAATGCGTGCTTTTAAGTCTCTACCACATATCCCCTCCCCTGGTTTCAATCTCCTCTCGATGAACCCATTATTCCAATCAATATATGCGCCTCGTGTATTGTTTTTGGATTTTTTTTTCATTCATCATGTAAAATATGTATGTATAATATAAATTAATTGATGAATCCAAATCTCTGAATAGAATACCATACGTGTACGCAATTATTGTATTAAACATTTAACATGTCATATGATAAACACTGATTTATATCGAGTCCAAATTATTATATCTATCTACAAACTTGAATTATTTATTAATATCTCAGTTTAAATACTCCTCTGATACGTGAATTATACCTAACTTTTCAATGTTATACAAATTTATTTTTCATTCGCAGTTTTATATGTAAAATTCTTCGAAATAATCACAAGAGCGTTTAAACCAAAAGACTATTTATGATGATAATCATTTGAATAATATATATATATATATATATATATATAAACTTATATTTGGATATATTGGATAAGTGTATTGACTATGTATACACAAATGTATGAATGATAAATTTTTATTATATGCTGATCGGTGATGTGCACGAAGATTTTGGCCATGGAATCGGATTTTTTGGAATATATATCATTCTCATTGTGGTCACCAAATGGGGTGATATAGATTCCCTCATTACATAGTGAGATAAATTCTTATGGACACCGGAAAGAAGTTCCTGCACTAATAAAAAAACAAATCAATTAGACCCTAGTTTTGAATAAAGTATTGAGTAAGTGGTATTCGATTCTGTCTAAGTTTCATTTTTTTTAATTATTTTGATTTTGAAAAGAGCATAATTTATCATATTTATTTGGTAATTTGAAATTTTGATTCTTATGCCTTTTCACCTAAGAATCTTACTTAACAAAAATAAATAACATTGATAGGATTAACAAAGAAAATTTTCGACGGCAAAAAAAGCTTGATGATGATGGTTATGGACAATAGCATATCTGAACAAAACATTTTAAAGATCTACGTAAAAAATTAGAAGTTTTTTTTTTGAAAATTTTAAAATTTAATGAGAAATTAAAAAAACTTAATTAAAAGTAGTCATAGAAATTAAAACTTAGTTTCAATGTAAATGCATGCCTCTGATTCCAATGTGTGCCTTGTCCAGTACTACAAATCCTATTTACTTGTTTTTCTCTCGCACTTAGGAGAGGTTTGATTCAAAAGGCTTGAATTCGATATTTTAGTTTGGCAGATATATTCAACCTGTTATTAATGGAAAATGACGTGGACCCAAGTGACCATTTTCCCCCCAGGAATATTATATATCAATATTGAAAAATAAAATCAGATAGAAAAACTACTTCTTTTAACAAATTTTCCATTCCCATTTTTTAATCGGTAATGAAGATAAATTTTGAATCGGACGAACATGAGAGAAGGCAAATTAATTCCACAAATTTTAATTACAGTATGTTATTAAAGAAATAATTATAAAATTTATAATTAGAATATATATACTAGTTGCCTACTTCTTTTAGATCCACCGATTTTTGGAACGGTATTTTAATTTAACGATGCCGACCGTCGCCACTGTATACAACTGGGTAAAAGTATGAACCGCAGATGGGGGCATTGATTTGGACCATGTTAATTAATCACTATTAAAGAATTAATTTCTCTCCAAAAAAGTCAATCAAAAATTTTCTTTTTGCTGAAAAAAATGACAAATAAAATAATGTCTGACTTCAGCATATGGTTAAACATCGGATAGTTTCCGAGAAAAGACTGCTGATGTGGCGACATCTTTGGTGGCTGTACTTTGATCGATGTCCAAATAATAACGGCTGACACGGACGTGATGACAGAAAGCTGCTTTGAATCTTGACACGTAGGAGATCTGTTCTTTGTATTGCTGATCCTTGGAATATGATTGTAAAAACAACGGCGCTGATTGCAAGGCAGGTTTTGGGTTAACAAACGTTCTTATGACACTACTTGATATTACGTATTATCAACGATGGTGTTTTACCAAGTACAATTGATAACTAAAATTTTCTTATAAACATGAAATCGATTAACATACTGGAAATTAAGCTTACGATTCACGAAGATTTTTCTCTAATTTGTAACGTATTTTCTTTTTCCAAACCCAGTCACGGGTCTCTCTCCGTGTGTGGAAATGAACCAGCTGAATTCCCTGGTTTTACCCATCTTTAACCCTGTTTGAAATAGAGTCTCGGAGAATTTCAACTTTTAGAGCCTTGCCCTTGAACCAGAGATAGGATTTAACCATGGTTAACTCTAACTCTGTCTTCTAGTAAAACCCCACCTCCACTGAACCCTTTAAATTGGACTGCTCCCCCTCCTCATTTCTCATCGACCTTTCCGCATCAACTTTGAATGCTCCAATTCACTTCTCATTAGCCCCTTTTTCTTTTTCTTTCACTGCCAGCTCTCAAAATCTCTGGTATAGTTTTGTTTATTTTGATTTTTCTTTTTCTTTTGGTTATAGAAGGCTTACTCTATTTTTAATATTGTCGATTTTCAGAGAGAAGATATGGCGGCAAATGGAACCGGAGTGCCGATGCCAAAGAGTCCGTTGGTGAGGATTCTAACGGACAAGAAGGGAGACGGGATCTGTCACGATGACAGTGGGAAAGCCGTTAAGGCTCAGACGATCGACGAGCTTCACTCTTTGCAGAAGAAGAGATCGGCGCCAACTACGCCTATCGAAGGGACCCAAGGTGCCTTCGCTACCTTGTCCGAGGACGAACGCCAGAGGCAGCAATTACAGTCCATCAGGTACACATGCAAGTGCAGCACATATAATTAAATAATAAACAAATTTTTTTTATCATAATCGTCCAAAAGGTAATAAATGACGATGATCATAATAATCAATTAATAGTCGATGCGGGGTGATCAGAAGGTGAAATTCCAAATGAAATTCATCAATCTTGTTGGATTTTGATGTGGGACCCGCTGTTCGGGTGTCGTAAAACGGATGTGGTATGTGCAAAAGCTTTTTTTGTGCTTCCTCCCTCCGTTGATCTGCCTCCAGAATCCGATGATCCAAATACGAAACTATCCTTGAAATTTGTAAAATCATAATTTCAACAAGGGCTTATCTGTCAGTTCATATGACAAAAATCGTAGGGAGGTTTTTTGTCGGCCATATAGTGATTAGTATTATTTTTGTTTGTTTTCTTAATTAATTTTTAAATAGTGCATCTTTGGCCTCGCTGACGAGAGGGACGGGGCCAAAGGTGGTAAGAGGAGATCCAGCAGCGAAGAGCGCTCAAGCAGTTTCGCATGTGGCGCACCACCACCATGTGGAGGCGCCTCCCATCAGCGTTAGTGACAGCTCATTGAAATTCACCCATGTCCTCTACAACCTCTCCCCTGCAGGTAATAGTCTTTAACGTCAAGTAACACAATTCATAATTAATGTAAAATTTATGAAATTATATTATATGAATATCTGGGTATTGAATGGGTGCAGAGTTGTACGAGCAGGCTATAAAGTATGAGAAAGGGTCTTTCATTACATCGTCTGGTGCATTAGCCACACTGTCAGGAGCCAAGACCGGGCGGTCTCCCAGAGATAAGAGGGTTGTTATCGATGAAACCACCCAAGATGAGCTTTGGTGGGGAAAGTAAGTGTATATAATAATAGTAATTTATTTTTTGAATTATAGTGGGAAATTAAATTAACAATTGGGGGAATTGCTTGACAGGGGCTCACCCAACATTGAAATTGACGAGCACACCTTCATGGTGAACAGGGAAAGAGCTGT